GAGGAAGAAGACATGGCTTACTTAGAAAGTCTAAAAGTGAGTGCCCAGGGTGAACATGACATAGGCTAGGCTGATAGAAACCCCAACCTATGTGCTGGCTCAGACCTGATGAAACAGTTAGAGCCCCAAGTCTGTCTGAGGAAGAAGTGCCAGCAGGCTTGCGAGGCCAGGGACTAAGGGGAGAGAGGCAGAGCGGCAGGTGGCAGGGCAGCAGGTGGTGCACTTGACCTAATAGATGCTGTCTTGTTTGTTCTTGTTGGAGCAAACCCAGCAGTGCACTAAGGCATGAGGCGGGAAGGAGGGGAACTAGACACAGCCTTTGAAAGAAGAGAAGGGGGGCTTCTGGGTAGCCCATACTTATCAGGTTAAGCCGCTCCCATCCTACCTGCCATGTGTCAGTTGTCAAGTGTTAAACGCGAGTGTTGGGGGCTTAAGATAAACACTGGCTAACTGTAGGTTTAGAATGAAGCGCATGCAAATCTAAATTAAGAAATGATAGCAGTGCAGGTTACCAGGCCAACGGCCAGATCTGATCCACGTCTGTGTTAGTGGCTTTCCCTGTCCCTGGGACAAGAGGCTTGACAAGAAGTAACTTAAGGGAGGACCTTTTCTGGCTCATGGTTTGAGGGGACAGTCCATCACTGCAGGAAGACACGGTGACGGAGAACAAGGTGGACACTGTGCACTCGGGAAGCAGAGGATGGAAGCTGGAGTTGAGCCCACTTTCTCCTGTCTCCCATTTCACTTAGCCCAACAGTCCACCCCATCTGGATATCTCCCAGATTATTCCAACCCAGTCAGGTTTGACCACGAACATTAATCATTACAGTGTCCCATAAATATGTATATACACATATGACATCAGGAGAAAGACTTATAATACCCTTAAAAGAAAAACAATACTACCATCTATGTATCAGAGAAAACAAGTCAAAAGTTTAGACACTAAATCTGCGGGCATTAAGACTCCTTCCCATGAGTCTCTATATAGATTATATATTATCTATACACTGACAGCATTTCCTGACCTCCTAGAGTTGGATGCTTTCCTTCACATACTAACTTGCAGAGAATTATATTATATTGTCTTGCCAGCATGTAAGACCACACCCTTCACATGCATGCTTGCACACAGGCACACACACAGGTGCAAACACGTACACTCTGAACATAAACAGCAGATGGGTTGGGGTGTAGGTCAGTGCTAGAGCAAACACTTAGCCTATGAAATGCCCTGGGTTCTAGTCCCAGTACCAGTTATAGTAATGTGCTAGACCAAATACAAACCAACACAAACTTAAAACATTTAAAAATTAGGAGGACAAAGAGACAGCTAAACCAGCAAAGTGCTTGCCTCACAAACATGAGGATTTGTTCCAGCCTTCAGAACCCATGTAAGAAAGTCAGGTGTGCTGGACAGTAGTGGCACACACCTTTAATCCCAGCCCTTGGGAAGCAGAGACAGGCGGATCTCTGTGAGTTTGAGGCCAGCCTGGTCTACAGAGTGAGTTCCAGGACAGCTGGGGTGATTACACAGAGAAACCCCGTCTCAAGAAAAGAAATAAGGAAATTAAGTAAAAGGGAGGGAGGAAGGGAGGGAGAGAAGGGAGGAAGGGAGGGAGGGAGGGAGGGAGGGAGGGAGGGAGGGAGGGAGGAAGGAAGGAAGGGAGGAAGGAAGGAAGGAAGGAAGGAAGGAAGGAAGGAGGCAGCCAGGTGTGACCATGTATGTCTGTAATTCCAGCACTGGGGCTAGAGACAGGAGCATCGTAGGGGCTCACTGGCTGGCCAGCCAAACCAACAAGCTTCAAGTGTTGCCAGGTTTGTTCAAACTGTCCACAAGTGGTGTGTCTGTCCTTCTACCAATAGTAACAATAGCGATGATTACCTGTTTTGGTTTTTCTAATGTGGGGTGTCATATATAGAATTATTGTTCGACTAATAGCTCCTTAGCTACAAGTGAAGCCGTAGGTGGAGAGCTATTAATTTACTATTGGATATCTATTTCTTTTTATGTGAGCTACACATTGCTCTACAGACTTCCTTACGGATTTGGATAATCTTTGAAAACTTGCGTGTATTGTAAATAATCTTTCAGCATCCTTGAAGGGGTATTTATTTTTATTTTATGTGTATAAGTGTTCACCTTCACATATATGTGTGCTAGGTACTCATGGAAGACAGAAGAATGTGTCAGATCCCTTGGAAGTGGAGTTACATATGGCTGAGCGCTGCCATGTGGGTGCTGGGAACTGTGCCCAGGTCCTCTGAGAGCGCGAGCGCTCTTAACTGCTGAGCCATCTTTCTCAGGCCCTTGGCTTTCTGATGATGGAAAGCTCCTCCTTTGTTCCTATACAGGTTAGCGCTCTGGGGTCTTCTTTATTTTTAAAACTTTTGTTATATCTATGTACGTACGAGTGTGTATGTGTTATATACGTTTGTGTGTGCGTGTGTATGTATGTATGTGTGCACGTGCGTTCATCCGAGCACATGTGTGAACATGTGTACAGGTGAGGGGTGTTAATGTGGAGACTATGGGTCAACACGGAAAGTCTTCTGCAATCACCTCGTTTTGTGAGCCAGTCTCTCACTGAACCTAGGACCCTCCACGTACCAGGCTGGCTGGTCAGCAAGCCCTGGGGATCCACCTGCCTCCACTTGCCCAGAGCCGCGGAAACAGGCAAGCGCTGCCTCATTTGGCTTTGCACATGGGCACTAGAGGACGAACTCAGGTCTTTGTGCTGGCACAGCAATCATTTTACCCTCCCACGTCCCTGTGACTTATTTATGTAAGAAGAATGCTATGAGTTCCAATTTTATTTTTCAGAGTTACCCAGGCTTTACTTAACTTACTTTAACTTCTTCTTGAAGTACTGGGGATTGAACTCAGGGCCTCTCACCTGCTGAATTTGCGCTGGACCCTAAACCACGCCCACAGGCTCCAACTTGGCATTAGCCACCTTTAACTTTGTACCAAATATGCATGAGGATGCTGCCTTCCTCTGTGGCTCCTTGTGCTACCAGCAGTCTCTGACTAGCAGCATCTCCACCCGCTATCCACTAGGTGGAAGTATAACCTCCAATCAGGACAACCCAACACCTTCCCCTGGGCCAAGCACTGCTTGTTGGCTGATGAGGGACCTCCTGAGTATCATTTTACTCACGTGGCTGCTCCCAGTTCCACGTTGATATGTTAATTAGGACGAAAATGAATTGATGGAATAATTTAGACACCCTTAATAGATTTAATATGAGACACTACTGAATTTAGTCTTTGCTATATTTAATCTTCCTATCCCAAGCCGACACATTTCCTCCCATTTATTCACAAGGACATAGACGTGTTCTCCAAATGGGTGTTAGATATCTTTTAATGTATAGGCTCTTACATAACTGAGTTTATTGCTAAGTGTTTCTCCTGTCTTTCTTAATGTTTGTTTGTTTGTTTGTTTGAGAGAGGGTTTCTCTGTGTGTAGCCCCGGCCGTCCTAGACCTCACTCTGAGACCACCAAGCTGACCTCACATTCACAAAGATCCATCTCACAATTGCTGAGTTTAAAGTTATGTACCATCATGGCCTGGCTCCACATCTTCTCTTACATGAGATCATTTCTTCAAATATTATATTTCCTAACCAGTCTCTGGTCAGAGAACTAGTCAATCTTTTCCTTTCAGACAAGGTGCCATTGAGCCTAGGCTGGCCTGAACTCCTGATCCTCCTGTCTCGGCCTTTCAAAGGCTATTGACTTATTTTTTGAGATGAAGTCTTTGCCTTGCTCATCTAGTGGGTTCAGGCGACACTCCTGTCTCTGAGTACTTGAACCGCAGTTACGTGTTGCCAAGTGCAGCAAGATAACATCTTTCCTTGCTAGAGCCTCTCCACACACACTTACCATCTATCAAGAGTTTATTACTCAACCAGAATAGTGGTAAATTCTGACAGCTCCATTGCCCACATCCATCAAGATGACCATGTGGTTTCTCTGTGGCCTATGATATGCCTAACAGGCATATAATGCTAACGTTCATTCATTCACTCATTTTTTAAGATTTGATTTGATTTGATGATTATTTTGCCTGCACGTAGGTCTATGCATCATATGTGTGCAATCCCCATGGAGGCAGGAGAGAGTGCTGGAATTACAGACAGTTGTGAGCCACTACGTGGGCGCCGAGAACTGAACCTGGATCCTCTGGAAGAGCAGCAAGAGCTCTTAACCACTGAACCATCTGCCATGCCCCTCATTGATGCGTTCTTAGAGGATGCAGCTCCACTTGGTTGTACTGTCCGCGACTGCCCTTTGACATTTTCTTAGACAGCATTTGCTAACACTTTAATATCTCACTTTTGTATTAATATTGAGAATAAAGTTGGCATTCATTTTTAATTAATTATTACTTTAATGGCATCTGTTAACTTTGGAATCAGTAGTCGAGGTTTGCTTGGTGAAAATGTGTTACTTTCATTTGCTGTATTTAGTACAAATTCAGTCTTTAACAGCTACGTCATCATGTAGAAACACAAGCCCTTCTCCTTACATCCAAAGCCACATTCGGGCCTCACATTAAACTCCTTGAAGGCCAAACAATTTAAAATATATCTTCAGAATGTAATGTTTTGTGAAATGGGTCAAAGAGTGGTGAGCATCACACCCATCAACAATCATCATGACCAAGGAAGACCTCAGCTGTTCGTCAACTTGGGCCTATCCATGACCCACTGCCATTCACTGCCATCATCCGGGATGACTTCAGAGCTACACCACCTTGCTAAAAGGATTCCACACACACGGGTGACAAGTGGACTCCTGAGGTGACATGACAAACCATTGCCCTTCTGTTCTCCATCAATCTCCCAGGTTGTATGCTGTCTCCTCAGTGCACAAACTCCACAGGTAAGGACTATGCCCCCAGATCAGCTCCAGGCCAGGGTGATGGGGGAGGACGGATCATGAGTGAAAAGGAGCCTCCACAGGACAGGACGCCACCGAGGTCCTTCCTACCTGTGTTGCTTCTCAGGCGGCTCTCAGTGAGCTCAGAGATGGCTCCGGAGGTTGAGGTCTTCTTCAGGCGCACCGTCCCCGCAGAGGCACTGCCAGGCTTGTTGAGCATGTCCTCACTGCTGGCCCTCTTGAGCTGGAGAGAAGTTAGAGGGACAAAGACACAGTGAGGAATGCTGCACCCACCAGGTCAGGGACATAAAGATTTACAAAGGAGACCGCCATCCCTGAGAATCAAAGCACCAAGCTACTAGTATAGAAGGAATAAGCAGGAGGAGCACCAGATTCGGTCACTACTGCATGTTCTCTCTCTGTTTGTGGCCTTGCTTCCTGTTACCCAAATGCAGCTCAGCACCCATCGAGGTTTCTGACTTGCTATGGAAGATCCCCCGAAGGGATGTGCTCAGGGGTTGCTTCGGCGTGTGCAGGAAATGCTCTAAGGGCATCCCTGGGATTGATGCTGCTGATCACCTGCTTGGTCTGCAGTCTCCCAGCCTTGGTAGAGGAAAGACTTCTCTAGTGGCTTGGCTGTTTTGCTTTTTTGCTTTTTGGTTTGAACCCCAATATCTGTCTCCAGGCTTTTACTAGCCGTGTTACATTTCAAGCCCATAATAATCTTGTAAAGTCATTGCATGTGTGTCCATCGTTGGCTGTAGAGTCATCTAATGGCTTTTGGCTGTATATTAGTGAGCTCTCCTGCAGTTTTAAACCTGGCTTAAGAGCATATCTGCATTTTGACTGGATATTTTTAAGGGCTCCATTGCCACAGATGGCTAGGAGCAACCATACGGAGAGCATTCTGTAGGAACTATAGCAGAACACTGTTGGTACTCAAGACTCAGACAATGAGCCCATGCTGGAAGGCTGCACTCCTTCGAGGACGTACTCTTACAGAACATTCTGGGAAGACTTGACGTCCTCAAACAGGTCCAGCATGGGACCATCCCAGGGCCAGCATCTAACCACTCCACTCTCAGTTATGTTTTTTTTCTTCTTTTTCTTTATTGTTCTCCTTTCCTTTTTATCAACAAACAGGAAATGAAGAAAAAGGCAACCAGGCCTTTCAAGAGATACAGGAGGTCAGTAGGCTGGTTATATACTTCATATATATGCTGGGCAAGGCTGGGTGGGCATCAGGGGGTGACACAGAAGCAGTGACCAGCCTTAGAGTCAGTCATTGGACCAGCTTCTCTGAGACGCCATCTTGAACCCTTGTCCCCAGAGATGTGGGCACCTTAGGCTATGTTCATTTTACTATCATACTTAGGGCTTCCCTGCTGTGAAAAATTAGTTTAAGATGTGCTACGTTTATGCTGTGGAATATTTGTTTAACGATGCAAAGATGTGTTGCATTCTTTTATGTGCCATTTATTTAATGCTGTAAAGCTGTGTTACTTTGTCTTCCTAAAATACCTGATTGGTCTAATAAAGAGCTGACTGGCCAATAGTCAGGCAGGAAGAAGGATAGGCGGGGCTTCCAGGCAGAGAGAATAAATAGAAGAGGGAAGAGTGAGGAGCAAGAAGAGGAGGATGACAGGGGCCAGCCACCTAGTCACAAAGCCACACAGCCAGCCACAGAGTAAGAAGTAGAGAAAGGTATAGAGAACAAAGAAAGATAAAAGTCCAGAGGCAAAAGATAGATGGGATAATTTAGGAAAGCTGGTTAGAAACAAACCAAGCTAAGGCTGGGCATTCATAGGTAAGGATAAGTCTCCATATATTTATCTGGGAGCTGGATGGCAGGGCCTCCAAAGAACAAAGAGTAAAAACACCATCTATACTTAACCAAACTCTACTCAAAAATAGTAGAAAAAAATAACATCTGTTCAGAAAATGTAGGTTGTTTTCCTCATCCTTATTCATAAAACATTACCACGTAATAGCTATTTACCTTAAATTAGATATTATAAGTAGTCCAGAGAGACTAGAGGCATCTAAGGACACAGGACTGGTGGGCTCTGTGACAACACCACTGTTTCAGACAAGGTCCTGAGCACCCACAGATTTGGGCACCCATGGGAATTCTGGACGGTGACACACAACTTGAATTTTTTTCTGTTCATACAAACTCAAACCAATGTTTTGTCGACTGCGACCAAGTAAGCTCTGACTCATAGCCTCGGGCCTTCTGTTGTGGCTGGAGTGATGTGGCTTGCTGAAGTCAGAGCATGTGTGCCGCTGCCTGAACACCACAAAGAGGGTTTGCATCAACATCCCTACCCTCCCCCCTCCCCGTTCTTCCTGCATCTCCTGCCTTGTGCTTTCAGCCCCTGCAGCTCAGCCATGATTTGAAATTGGGGATTCAGTTCTATTGTGGGTGGGTTTGATTCGGTTTCCTATTTGTGAACAGTTAAGACATCCTCATCCATTTACTCTGGACAGGCATTGCAATGTCGACGAGTGCAGGCACTGCTCTGGGACATTTGCTACAGGTCCCAGCTGTCCTATCCGCTTGGAAGTTTCCATTGGGGAGGGAAATCTACCTGCTTTTCTGATCATCACCTCTACCTCCTCTCTTCTGCTCTCTGGGCTTTCAATGATCTAGAGCCCACCGTCGGCTGGAAAGGACAGGGCTGGCAAGGGGCGGGCACAGTTCAAGTCCTCCTACAACTCTTCCCAGATCCTGGTGTCCGTTTCATAATATCAGGACAAGAAAGCTCGTGTATCAGAATGGAGAGCAGGAAGCCTGCCACAAAACTACTTGCTTTCCCTTGACATTTCTCTGTGGAAGAAGCTTCTGAAGCAATGCCCTTCGCTGTTGAAAAGCACAAGTCAGGTGGTTCCAACACCCGCCTGAGAGTTCACAGGCGCCAAGTGGCTCAGTCTGCTTTAGAGTGATCTCACTGCCCTGGAGGCCCACCTAAGCCACCAGGTGACCCTCCCAGAAGAACAGAGGGCCATCGCATTTCCTACACACTAAGTGCTTAGCAGGCAGCACAGGCTTTCCTAAGCAACGCTGTGGTCGGCAGAAGCATGCAGTCCTGCCCTCCTGGAGCTCACGGCCAGCCAAAGGAAGAAAGGTGTTCAACATTCAGAGGTGTGGTGGAGTAGGAGCTGCAGGGGACGCTGAGGAGGGAGTGGAGCGTGGACGCAGTCAAGGAGCATGGCACAAGGATACTCAAGAGTGGTCTCTGACGTGATGCCCTCCAGGCAAAGACAGGAGGCGATACAAATACAGAAGTGTGCCTGGCATGTCCAAGGGGCAATCGTTACAGGTACAGAGGAGAATGACAATGTCCAGCAGGAGATGGGGTGTGGACAGCCTCTCTGGTCACTAGGAGAGCTTTGCTTCTTACTCTGTCCAACAGAAAGAACTCGAGTGGGCGTTCGGCAGAGAGATGGCATGTCACATACGCTAAAGGGACTCCTCCAGCATCTGTTGGGAAAAGAATGCGGAGTACCAAAACGAAAGCTGTGGGGTGGGGGGAGCCAGACAGGGAAGGATGGCACGTGGGGAGAGGTCACAGAGGAGGCCACAGTAAGGGGATTCAGGTGAAATCTATTCTCCAGGCAGAAGGAATGGCTTCTTACTGATGCACTGTGGGGACATGAACAAAGGAGCTTTCGAGGACTCAGGTCTAAACAACCTAAAAGAAAGAGGAACCATCTGCTCTACAAAGGGTAGCTCAAAGAGGAGCAGGTTAGGAGGTGATGGAGGCAGGGGGTTGAATTTGGCTAGGACACATTGCAGTGGGGGTGGCATCTTGACCCTCAAGGCAGTGAGAAGGTTCCTGATTAGCAATAGAAATCTCGATACCATTCACAGAACAGACGCTGTCCCCTGGAAAATGGCTCTCAACAAGGACCGTCCTGAAATCTGGGTGTGTGTTAGAAAAGATAGGGTGCATTTCAGACGTCACCATGATTGGATGTGGAGCTGATGGGGCAGAATGGGAAATTTACATATTCTATGATTCACATGTACAAAAAGCCCCCATCCCCAGTTTTTGCTGAGTCTTTCAACAGCTCACATATCTCTTTCCCCATCCTGGAGCACCCCACTGTCCCCCATTCGCTCCATCCCCTCAGGTGCTGCTGGGGTTTGCTACTGACACACAGGACACTGAGCATTCTCACAGACCTTACTAAGCCGAGACTCGAAGGCCAGCGAGGTTGAAGACTTGGAACTCTTCATGCCAGAAGGGGTCCCAGGGAGGGGCCGTGTGCGATCAGGGCCATGGCTGCCTGCTTTGGCAACTGGACTCCAGGGCTTGGTGGCACTCCGCATGATGTCCTGTCTTCTCTCTGTAGAAAGGTAAAAAGGAAAACACTCGTCTCCAAGATGCTACTTGTGAGTGACATAAGGCTTTACAAACTCCCTTCACCAGGCTTACCACTGCTACCACAGAACGAGTGTTAGGATTTAGCCAGGTATAGAACACCGTGCACCGAAGATGCTGCTGTTGCATGCTGCTCATTTTTATACCTCTGGACGGGTGTTTACCGGTTTATTAACATGCATATGTGATACAATTGATATTCTGATATTGCTTTTCAGCAAATGATACCTTGTTCTTGTTACAGACACCTAACAGCTACGTATCCCAATACACATTTGTAAGTACACACATGCCCTCATGCCCATGCACACACACACACACACACACACACACACACACACACACACACACACACTATGGTGACTGGCATCAAGATATAATATGTCCCCAAGCTTTGCAGCTTTAGAACTATCAAAACAGTCTTCCTTAATTTTTAAACACATATAAATGAATTATTTCAGAGTTAAAGAGTTCGCAGAAATACAAATGACTCCTTTGAGATAAAAATGAATACCATTTAAAAATTAATAAGGCATATTTTAATTGATCAGACTTGAATGCAGGATTATTTCCCTAGTTAAATAATTTATGGAATGAAAAAAATATTGTTCAAAGTATCAGACTGCAAGGCTAAGCTATGCACATCTTTAATCCCAGTACTCTGGAAACAGAGGCAGGTGGGTCTCTGTGAGTTCAAGACCTGCCTGGTCTATATAATGAGTTCCAGGACCGCCAGAGATATATAGAGAGACACTGTCCCAGTGGAAAGAAGAAAGAAGTGCCAGCAGTCCAGGTAAAGTCATCAACTGTCATTCATGATCCCTTGCATCCTCCAACCCCCAGCCTCGCCATCAACAGCATCTTTGGGATAGATCAGAAGTCCTGGTATCTTTCTACAACCACCTTGCCTCTGTCTGTCCCCGTGGACTCTGGTATGACACACGGTACCAAGCCATAGTGTCTATCCTTTCAATTAACACCCACAGAGGACAAGCAATTCTGAAAGCCACTTCCATGGGGTACAAGGCTCTGGCTAACCGTAAGGGGTGGTAGCTGGTACTAGAGTGGATGGTCTCCTCGGCCTCGCTGCATTGTAGGACGTCTGCAGCCCAGCTCAGGCGGCCATCACCTTGTGCTCCTGTCCCTTCCCTGACCAGAAGAAACTTTCTCAGCAGACAGTATCTGTCTCGCCAAGAGTCACCCGGTTCCTCTTCCTGTTTAAGCAAAGTGATTCCATAGAGATAAGTGTCCTATGTAGCTGGTTCTCTCTACAGCTGCATGGATGTGGCTAACAATGAAACTGCATGTCTATAACATGAACCAGGCCCTGGGTTCTATCCCTGACACACACATGCATGCACCTGAATTCATTATTGGTAAAAGGAAAAAAAAAAGAATACCATTTGCTTTTGGTAATTTTTTTTCCTGAAGATGATATATGATTTCAGTTGCATGATCCGCTCAGAACTTCTTAGTCTCAGCTTGGTTCCAGGTCTTGTGATTTCTTAAAAATTCAGTATTAAAAAAAAAAGCAGCTTACTGCCAATGTATTTTACTGATGCTTAACACTGATTATTTTTCTTTCTCGACCCATGCTTTTTCATTCTGGTTTCCACAGCAACAGTAAAAGAACACTTAGGTTAAGACCTGTGCAGTGACTAATTTCATTTGGCTGGCTGGCTCTCTCTCTCTCTCTCTCTCTCTCTCTCTCTCTCTCTCTCTCTCTCAAATGAACTACTGCAGCCCAAGAGATTCCTCAAGAGAACCGGTAAATTTTGCCCCCAACTACAAGACAACCAGGACCCTATCCGGCTGACTTGTGGAGAACATTGAATAAAATACCCACTTGACCAGCATCCCCTTTTATCCATTAGAACTCCTTGGCAGCGAGCATTGCGGGGCTTACTCTATGAAAACTCTAGGTGTGTGCTTCCCCAAATCCTGCCAAGGTTACCCTTAAAATGAAAATGCCTTTAACCTACTCCCCACAAGAGAAAACTATGAAGCTAGAAGCAACAGTCAAAGGACGGACATTTTCCCTGTCGATCATTTTCCTGATATTTTAGGAAGACTCAATCAGTTAATGAATCAATCTTGATCCAAACTCAAATATATACACTCAGCTCTTAATTTCTGGCAACATTAATTTCTGATGGGCTGGGTGGAATTTAATTTTCTTTTTTTTTTTTTAAGTCAGCAGGTTGCTTGCTCTGTTTTAAAATTCTTTGGGGACTTCTTGCCACATCACTTTCTGTACTCTCCGCAGAGAGAATTTGATAAAGCTCTTCACAAACAAACACCCCCAGGAAAGGCACCCACACTGCCTTCTCTGGGAGTCTGTCATTCTTTCCCCTTCTTCACTGGACTTGGCTCTCCCTTCCGTACTCATCCACACGCCAACCCCTCCCCTTCCGATTCCATCCTCTGGAAGTAAAGATGCTCAGTGATGAACCATTAACATCCCACCCACCCCATAACCAAGAGTCATCTCCTCCGATGAGAGCAGGATATCAAATCTGGCAGGCAGTTTAGGGAGAGGAACGACCATTATTGTCCTTGGCCATATGCCAACAAGCCGTCTTGTCCTGGGCTCAAGGGCACAAATACCAGAAGGGGTCTCTGTTTCTTAGTCTGGTCTCTTATTAGTTTTCTTCAGCTTTAATACAACTGGAATGAGCCCTACTGCCTAGAAACTACACTTGAAGGCATAGCCGAAACTACGAAGCATCTAGACTTGTCATTTAGGCCGACTGGACTGACCAGCTTTCCTCCCCATGCCTTTTCTAAATTCTACAAGAAGCCCTCAGCCTAGCAGCTTGATGGTAGCCCATTTTCTGGGACCCTCTCCTGCTATTCGGGAGTTCTGCTTTCCTTCTTTCTCTTAGGTTCCCACCTAAAACCCTATACTAGCACTGCTTTCTAAGTTCATCTTCCCGCCGTCTGTGAACTTCACTCTGATTTCATGAGAAAAGAGACCCAGAAGCCATTGGTTTGGGATAGCTCTGCTGTCCATTGGTTTGTCTGGGACCTTAGCACTACAAACTAAGCACAGGTGAGGTGGGAGATCCTCCGTCACGGTTAAGGACCTCCACTTCTGTCTCACAAGTAGGGGAAGTGCCAGGTGGGATGTCCAGGAGTAACAACTTACCATCGGGATGGAGAAGTGACAACCAAGCCCTGCGAGATCAAAACAGTCATGGCGAGAAGAAAGGGAGGAAGGAGGACCGGTCCCTGTGCTGCCAGGTGGAAAGGCAGCCATAGTGTCCATCCCTCAGGCTCCGTGTCTTAGGAACGTACTAAATTTCACTCTGTCCTCTGCTCCAACCCTGACGAAGGCCCCCTCTGTCTCCTGGAATCCTGGCAGTCCCTGGTCCCTCCTAGCCTTGGACTCTTCTGAAACAGACTTGAGAGAGATGAATCCCCTGAGTTGCCTGTAGAGCTCAGGCTAACACTGGCCTTGTCGTCTCTTCTCTCCCAGGAAGGCCTCCTGCTGGGCATGGAGCAGGTACACTCCAGGACCATCCTGTCCACAGCCTTCCACCCACCCCACCACCCACTGCTTCTGCTTCCACCCCCTCAGCAGGCACCCCAGTCCTGGCTCCCTGACACACAGAGAACCCTGACTTCACAAGAGCTGCAGTGTCCTGGTAGCCAGTGCCATTCCACTTTGAGTGGAAGGTGCTGGCAAATGCCCACGTGGATGGTTCCTTAAATCACCTCAACCACAGTCGGGATATTGGGTATCCCCCAAATTCACACACTGAAACCAAAGCCCCCATGTGGTACTCTTGGGAAAGAGGACATCTGGGAGACGACAATCGGGTCAGGAGAGCAGACCCCTTTCAAAAGGACCAGTGGCCTTACAGAAATGGACTAGGGGAACATTTTTGCCCTTCTATGAAGTGGGGACACATGAGAAGGTGACACCATGAGCCAGGCACAGAGCTCTCATTAGACAATGAATCTGCTGGTCCTGTCTCAGGCTTGCCAACCCCACAACTGTGAGCAGTGACATCCAGTCATTTAGAAGGCGTCCACTTTAGCTCTAATGACCTAAAACCCTCCCGTTAGACAGAGGAGGAAATTTTCTTTGACTTGGGAAGGTCGAGATATTTGCCTATAACACAGAACTCATCTGTAGCCAAGATTAAAAGCAGGGGTGGACAGATCATCCAGGTTACTTGCGCCCTCATGTGAAACAAGAGGTCTATGGATGAAATCCCCCCCCACCCCAGGTAGGTCTAGCTCCTCCATGACTGGGAGCCTGGGCGTGTCTGAACTCTGGGCCTCCCAATATCAGATGGCGTTACAAGCAGCGATGTCACAAACCAGCGAAGGACTAAAGGTGTACATCACAAGCAGGGCGCGCGGAAGACTCTTCACAAATGCTAGCTGCCTTCTGTCAACTCTGTCAATCAGCCACTGCTTATCAGCTCGACAATACACAGCCACGGAGCAATTAAATCTTCAGGTCAGGGGGCTGCCGGGCTTACCAGGCAAGTGTTCTTCCTGTGCACCGAACAGCCTGTTTTCATTTGCAAATACGGGCACAGAGATGAGCGGAGAGGAAAATAAACACGGAGGCAGATGCCTTACAGTCTTAGGTTTGGTTCTAGAAACTCTGGGCTGCCGCAAGATAAACACAGGTGGGCACACTCACTGAGTCATGGCTCTCTCCTGGACGTGAATTAGTAACAGAAAAAGAAATGGGTGGCCTCTAGCCAAGCACAGGGTAGCCAGAAGGGGAAAAAAAAAAAAAGAGTTTCTAGCATTAACTCTCTGACTTCTTAAACTCCTCATAAACAATACAAAGGGTCAAATCAATTAAGAAATTACTGTTAATTTGAGAATTCATTCGAGAGAAGGGATGGGAGCTGGAAGGAGGGCATGGAGGGAGGGCATGGAGGGAGGGTAAGGAGGGAGGGTCTTCCCAGGGTGTTTTCTTTTTCAAAGTTCAAGCATTTT